ATGTATATTTATATATATAGGCAAGCAAAAGTATATATACTTTATATTGCTGCCAACCATCATTTTTTTAATATCCGGAGATATTGCCTGCACTTCAATATAGCAACAAAGAAGTGTAAAATGAAACACGCAGCACAGGAACAATGCAGGTAGTACCGGCGCGATAGTGATCAAGAGGAGATTTAAAACAGGGCTAGGTTTGACAATCGCTTACGTTTTGAACGTTATGATGTTTAAATAATCACATGGAAATTCACAATCAAGAAGTGTTTGCAGAACGCTAATAAATCTTTATGTTTGTTTGCCATGGCGTATATTTGGTGTAGGTGCCAGAGCACTCTATACTTTTGCTTACGAATATTTCTAGTTGTCACGCTCGCATACGTGCAACATTTGTGTGACTGTGACCTTTATTTGAATGGTTGTGGCTATGAAGGCGGCAGCGAGAACACGGAGCGCTATATGCATTTAAACACCACATACATATGTACTATGTTTGACACATATTTAATTTATGTCTTTATATGTCAGACTTTCTCTCAGACTCTCAGTCTCTCTCTCTCAAAAGAGCCAGCACGAGGCCTCTCACTGTTCCACACAGAGTGTCAGATAAAAAAGGTTGTTTTGCACATGATGTATTGTCTGTCCAATTGCCCATAGCTTTGTTGATTACGCTAACAGCGCATGACATTCTAGAAAACGGCGGAGCAGAAGTGAGTAGTGACAGCCTACTTGGTTTAGTAGTGGGCAGTGGATTGCATGTTACAGCTGAGGATAATAGACAACAAGACTTCCAGATATGAAGCGTGACCGCCACAGTACTGTTTTCAGCCAGTAGCTACCATACTGCTGGTGTTTCCGATCAACTCTTTTGCGAATTCAGAGCTCAACGGGCTTCAAACGCTGTACTTTCGATTATTACAGCGGCTGAATTAGCATATAATCGGTGTGTTTGCAAGGTCTAGCTGCAAACCTTCTAAGAATAGACAACAACTCGGGCAAACTATTGCGACAGAGCAATGGGCTGCAAGTTCACATCCAAGGTTTACAATCGTGCAAGAAACACCGAGTAAGGCGTGTGCGCTCGTGTGTTTTAGGAGTTTCGTTGTAGTGCATGATTTGGTTATCGATTGCGGCTGTTTCTGGGACCAAAGTTAATCCACCAACTTTAATCGCAAGCACGCGTGCCGTGATGAGCGCGACTACCAACACATTCTGACCGCCATACAAGAAGCGTTACAGTCACATGTTTTGTTATGAGCCAGTGGCTACCATACTGTCAGTACTTCCAATCGTTGCACATCGGGGGTTGCTTTGCATTGCAGATTGCGAGGAGTTCAACGTCAGGGCATGGACTCAGCACGCTACGCTTTTCGATTAGGACAATAGCAGCTGACTTGTTGAGATAGTTGAGCACCATCGTGTCGCGTTTCATGAAGCTTACTTCGGCACAACTGTCCCGCACAACCTTATGCTGTCAGTAGCACGCTGGAATTTATGTCAAATAATCGGATGCCTCTCTTCTGGCGGTCTCGTTGCATTGACGTACCCCTCCTTCTATCCTGTGATGTCTTAGCATTTCCCGCCCAGATGCTGGGTTTGAAGCGTTGTTCTACCTATCTCTATGCCGACTTTTTCCCGGTTCACTACCTCGATCGTCATCGACTCCAGAACCTCTATTCTTCTTACGCCTTCTGCGCGAAGCATCGCCCGTTCCCTCTTTGCTCTTGCGGGGTTTGCTATCATCACTACGACCTCTGCGTTCTCTACCTTGCTGTCCCAATGCTTCATCAGTTCTTCCATCACAGTGTCGGTGTTCACTTTTTCGTAATTCACTGCTATTTCTTTCCTCCTTACTACTTGCAGAATCGCTTGCCTCTTTACTTCTGTGGCTTCGCTCTCGATGCTTCTCCCTCCCGGCAACCCCCCCCGGTCTATCTCTTTTGTCCTCCTTCGTTTTGTTGGATTTCTTACTTTTACGTGTATGCCTCGTACTTCCTCTGGAATGCGAAGTGTTAGTATTTGCAGTAACAAGCGCATCAAAGTCTACGTACTCGTTGCGGACAGCAGACAAGTCTAAATCGTCATGGGCACTCAAAGGGGGATTCTCCAATCCGTTCACCCCCAAACCCATAGCGCGCACGGATTCTGGCTCATGTTCCTGGTTCTGGATGGGTTCAAAAGCTAGTTGAGATGCCTGAGCGGGAGAACATCGTGCTGACACACTCGCAGAATCACCATAAAAGCTATCCAGATCGTCGTTTGATATGGGAGTACTTTTGCTGGCCCGCGGAATTGGGATCTCATCATTGCTGTCACCATCTTTGGCTCTTGAATGATAGTGATGTATACGGTAATCAAATTTAAAGCTGATTGTATTTCGCAACATTCATTCATCTTTTGTTGGAATGTAGATGACTCACTGACAAGTTTTCAGCCTATTACGATAATACACTGTAAATGCAAAAGCCATTAAATTGACCTGGACTCAAATAGAACTACATGGCGAAATACGGCCAAAGATAGTTGAGATGCATTCCTCGACAATTGTACACGAACTCACATGCGAACGAAAATACCTTCGAGAGTGTCTGCTGTGCTTTCGTAAACCTTGTGACCCACGCACCTCACGCGCTCTAACTGGAACCTTAGCCGCGGTCATATTTGAGACCGGTGCCAAATCGGCATATCCTGTCGGTATTCTCCTTGATTCAACGATGTCTGCGCGTTCCTTGCTACGATCTTCACTCAGGAGCTTTCCTATGTCCTTTTTCTCGGTCATCTGTTTCTTCTTCGGGGCGGTCTTAGGTTTCGGTTTCGTTTCCGGTGCACTCTCACTGCTGCTGCTGCTATCCGATGTGCCACTCTGTTGCCCTACACCGAAAACACCATTGAACACCATCTCATCGTACGAGAAGTCTTCATCAACGGCCACACTTAGCAACCTGTTGTCACCCTCTGCCGTAGCATCCACAGGATCAGTTATCTCATGTTCATCCATCACATCCCTCGCAACCCCATCTCCAGCACTAACAATATTGTCCGATGTATAGCTATCATCGGGTAATACATCTGTGGTTGCGCCTCCACGCTGGTCTGTGCTCAGGTCGTCCGCGCTTCCATAGAACTCAGACAACTGTGCGCTGGGCGCGGCTCCGCCGGACTCTATTACTATGGGCACCAAATCACTAAGTAAGTCGAAGGCCACGTCACCTTTGTTCTCAGATTGCTCTGATATGTCTATCGGGTTTACAATTCCCTCCCCTATGCAAGTTCCATCATTTTCAACTGCAGTATCTTTGCTGTAAGCACTAGATGCTTCCAACACCCCAGCAGATGACGCTAACCGATCCTCGATTCCATCACCTTGATGTTTGTCAGGTATATTCACACCTTGGTGTTCTTGAACTGAAGACTTACTATCTTTTGTATCCCGAATGTAGCCATTTTCGTCAACTTGCTCCTTCGCATGTATACGCGCGTGTGCACTGGGCAACGCCTCTCCCAAATTTTGCGGATAAGATTCCGCCAGCATCGGGGACGAGGGCCGTACTTGTGTCTGAGCCGACAAATGCGATATATGCCCGTCTTCAACTTTTGCGCCTGATGACTTTCGTCTCCGTGCATCGATGTATTCCGCATGGGACTGTAACTTGCTCTCGTCCAGGAGAGCACTGGTCTGAATAGTCAATGGAATTCATATTTAAGTAGCGATCGCGTTCCATTGATAAGCAAGAAGAGAAACCTGCTCTTCTGGTCGATACATTATGCATTTCGAAGACGCTACGAACTGGCCAGAGGCTACCAATATATCTTGACCCAACACTCGAGAGTGCAGCAACGTTCAGCTCAAGATATTTGTAAGCAGGCACCATTGTTAGTTCCAGAAGAGTAGCTAATGAATACTAACCTCTGACAAATGCACGCACCAAGAATGGGTAAGAGTAGCCAATTGATACTAACCTTTGGCAAATGCACGCAAAAAGATTGGTTTCAGAAGTAGTTAATAAATACTAACTTCTGGCAAATGCACGCACCATGATTGATTTTAAAAGCGCAGCCAATGAAACCAACCTCTCGCAAATTGACGGCGTTGGCCTGCAACAGGTCAGTAAGTGACCGTCGTTGCAGATGCAGAAACGGCAGAGACAGGTAGCTGTGTAGAAACTGCAGACCATACCTGGTCGATTTCAAAAGAAAGGGGATAGTTAGACCTACGATTGTGCATGAGGTTGGGTAAATATTATAAAGCGCCATGTGATATGCTTGTTTCGAGTCAACATAGGAAGCGTGCGTTTGCTTGTTGCCGCATGCCGAGCATAGTGTGAACGAGAAAAATAGCAGGACAAGAGACAACAAGTTGAATTCTGCCGTTGCGTATTGGCTTCCAACGTTTTGGAATGATTGGATAGTTAGATAAGTGGTATAAATGATATACGGCACAAGTAAATAGGTAAAGTCAAGGCAAATATACAATCGCATACGAAGTAAAGAGATATTGACAAAATAGATAATGGAATCAGTTATTCTCATAAAATCCGTGAAGTGATCACTTTTAAAGTCCTGTTTACTTCTGTTCTCAAGGGAAAGAGCTCACAAGCTCCAGACGACAAATGACAAGCCATTATCAACGCGCAAAATCCGCTTTTGTCAAGCGAATTTGCACACATAGGCAAAACCCACATGCAAAAGCAATCCCACCATCCTTATAATAGTAGAACGTCCGCCAGCAAAAGGATGATACCGTTGTGTGCATATCGTAGGGGACAAATAGCCTCTAATCCCGTCAGAGCAACACAGTAAACAGACATGGGAGTCACATACCCATTTTTCAACGACACCTCGGCGAATCGCACATCCCGGTCACTGTCGTAAGCCATGTTGTCCGTCCACGCCACCAGTTCTTCGTTAGTGATACTGCGATCTTGTCGCAGATCTACCTACGCGCATGAGAAAATATATGTGTACATTAGTAAAAATTGTGTGCGTATAGCGCTGTCCCTTCACAAACTCTTCCCTCGCCTCTTCCCACCGTTCTATCCACACAATAAAACAAGAAAGCAATTGTGCGCATCGAATATATATATATATATATATATATATATATATATATATATATATATATATATACTACACACACACACACACACACACACACACATATATATATATATATACATATATATGTATATATATATATATGCAAGCGTTAAAATTAGGGCGGTATAATTCTATAAGGCGCAAGGAAATGTCGCACAGTGGTGAGCGTATACGACTAGTGCCACGTGATCGACTAGTGCCACGTGATAAAGCAGCGTACTGCGACGCAAGATCAACTCTGAAATTATTATATAACTTTGTGTCCCAACTAAATGGACCGCAAGAACTGTCCAATTCCACCACACAGGCGCAGGCCACAAGGTCACAGGCAAGTATTTGAACTTTATGCCAAGCAACTCCATATACCTTAGAAAAGTGTGTATGCAAATTTAATATCAGGCTTTATCACAACAATGCTGCAAAAACATATATCAGACTATTATGGTAATGGGATGTGTATAAATTGGCACGCACAAATGTGGCAGCTTTGTATGTGGACATGCACGACTTGAGTACATTTTCAATCAGACATCAAGCACGAATTTACCTTGTTAACTAAGAGCAATATCGGAATATGTGCAGGCACCTGTGCTGCATTTCGTTGCACATAAAGAAAAGTCCAAGGTTTTGTTACATCTAGGACGAATATAACACCGTGCGTATTTTTATACACATCGACGAATTGCGCATCACAGAATGAGTGAGAGAATCCCGCCGTATTAGTGCCTTTTCCGGTCGCTTCCTTTCCCTTCATATTCGCTCTGGAGTTTGGCGCAATATCATTGGACAGTTTTAATGTACCTGGATTCTGATTCGCTCTAACTCGAGCGTGGTCCACGACGTCCCACACTTCGACCTGTGTTGGACAGGCAGAAGTTGGCATTGATTCGCAATGAATTGAGCTGTACAATAATATCGATATACGGTTTAAGTCTAACCACACGCATGCATACACAAGTATAAACATTTGTTGCGATATCGCACATGATGATGGCGCCCTGACATACCAAGAAGAGCCGAAACATCACCAAATTTCAGTCATTACCACACCAACATAACGCACAATACATGGCTTGAACTTTGCGTCAAATCTGAGTAAGGCAATCACATACGCTGCACTTGCGTGCCGTTTGTCCTGAATTTTTCGTTGGAGTGTACCCATTACACCAAGGTCACAACAGAATGAACAGCACACATCACCACGTGCTCGCGCGAGTCGCTACGCGTTGAAGAACATATGGTATACTCGATAAAACAGACAGTTTAGAATGTTTTTGTTTATGCATCAACGTGTCTAAAACCTCAACACCATATTAATTGTTCAAATGCTTGGCTATTGTGCAAAGGTTTGGGCGTCATACCTTGACCATATCTCCCGTACGATCGTATCTCCACCCGATTGTACTCGCTTCTATCTGAGCAGTGGGTGTATATGTGCTGACAAAGGGCTTACCCTGCAACCGTTGCATAAGAACCGACTTGCCCACATTATTATCTCCCCTAATGACTACCTGGAAATTTGACCAAGCATTCTGCATTAGTATAGGGGTTCTTCGTAAACTCATCCCTTATTATACCTGACGAGCAGGAATCAGAATATCCCCTATACTATCGGATATACAGGGAACAATATATTCCCACATACAATGAGGCCGTGAAAGCCAGGAAGGAATATAGCATCAAGAGAGCGCACATCCCGAGAGACCAGGTGTCACACACGTGGCCCTGAGCTCCCTAATGTTTGGCTTATGATAATTTTAGTGAGTACAGACCAAAATCAGATCCTATTTGCACGTACACAATATAAAAATACATGTGTCCTTATGCTATACGATGACAAGGGCGGGATAAACAGGACTTCAGTAAATATATCAAAATTCCTGAGACAAGATTTTAAACAATGCGCGTTTGCTAACGTATGAAGGTTGGCAAAGTATACAAAAACATCAGCACAGTTTGAACAAATTGATATATTCTTGCCATACCGGGTATATATACACATACCAAAAAAAACACACACACACACTAACCCAACTACACATGCAGCCCCCCCCCCTTCCCACACACACACACACACAAACACACACACACAAATATATATATATGTAAATTTACATACATATATATGTATACACATACACACACATATATATATATTAGAGATACAATACACAAAACAAACACACACTAATACACGCACACACTTATATGTATATATATACACACACACACACACACACACACATATATATATATATATAGTATATATATATATATATATATATATATATATATATATATATATATATACACACTACTACTACTACTACACTACT